CCCCCTTACCCGGATGTGGGCGGGGCCTGGCGTCACCCGGGGGCGGAGCTTGCGCTGGGCGCCCTCTGCTGGACACGCCCCCTCCTCCTGCTCCTCCTCCTCCTGTGGGCGGAGCCAAAACTCAAAGCCACGCCCCCTCCACCAAAGCCACGCCCCTTCCATCGGCCACACCTTCAAATGTGGGGGCAGAGCCAACAGAGGAGGCCACGCCCCCTCCCGGACCCCGCCCTGCCTGTGGGAGGAGCCAAGACAGAAAGCCACACCCCCTCCCAAGCCACACCCCTTCAACTGCCCCACCCACACTCCCTGTGGGCGGAGCCCCGACCCCAAGCCCCACCTCTCCCATTGGCTCCACCCCCTTCTAACAGAAAGGGGTGGAGCATCCACCCTTGGCCACGCCCACACTTTTACCCATTTGATGCCATGCCCCCTTCTTGACCCCACCCCCTTTTGGAAGCCACACCCACTCCCTTCCCCTGCAAAATGGGCGGGGCCTCATTATCATTTGGCCCCGCCCCCTAAACTGGCCCCGCCCCCAAATCATTTACACAAGGGGCAGAGCCTCTGCTTGGACCCGCCCCATAAGCCACACCCCTTTTCCCAAGCCCCTCCCACCCCTTTACCCACAGGGTGGAGCCGCCCCCCTTTGGCCACGCCCCCTCCCTTGGCCACACCCACCTCCTTTTGACACAGTGGGTGGAGCCTCCATTTGGCCCCACCCCCCCAAGCCCCACCCACCCCATTTACCTACAAAAGGGGTGGAGCCTCCCTTTCCATTGGCCACGCCCATTTCCCACCTCATTTGCATCTCCAGGCCCCGCCTCCAGCCCCACCCACCTGTGTTGGCCTCTGCTGTGGGCGTGGCTTGGGTGAGGGGCGTGGCTTGGGTGCCGATTGGACACGTCCCTTTCTGGCAGGGGCGGGGCCAGGGGAGGCTCCGCCCCCTCGGCTCCCGGCCAATCGCTGACTGCGGCGAACCTGGGGGGAGGGGCAGGAGCCCAAAACTCACCTGAGAGCCCCAAAAACTCACCTGGGACCCCCCAAAATTCACCTGGGAACCCCAAAACCCACCTGGGATCCCCAAAATTCACCTGAGACCCCCCAAAATACACCTGGGAACCCCCAAAATTCACCTGAAAGCCCCCAAAACTCACCTGGGACCCCCCAAAACTCACCTGGGACCCCCAAAATTTACCTGGGAACCCCTAAAATACACCTGAGACCCCCTCAAAACTCACCTGGGACCACCCAAAACTGACCTGGGACCCCCAAAAACCCACCTGGGACCCCCAAAATTCACCTGGGAACCCC